ACTTGAGGCCATACCTGAACAACAAAGACTGGTAGGAGAGAATCCCAGATCCGCCTGCTGCGCTGTGGAGCACAAAGAACTCTGTTCTGTGCTGGTTGATTTCTCCCGCACTGTTTTATAGCCCTTCAAAAGCAGAAGTGAAGAGCTGAGAAATTTTCCCTCTGGTTAAAGGATTTCACAACCAAGTCAAAGGCATGGGGTGGGGGGAAGAGGATTGGCTGGAGCTTTTCGGGGAAAGGGGCTGGTATGCCGAAATTATCCCTGATCTGTGGCAGTGCCAGGGATAGCAAGCTATGACACATTTCACAAATGGGTCATCATGCAAATCAGCACCGTTCTCCTTATGACCCCGGTGCCTATGATGTCAATACCAAAATACTGGATTTTCCTGGGTTAGAAGAGTGTGCTGATTTAGGGTCTTTGGAACAACGTGCAGGACATGCAGATGAATGTGCACAAATAACCACCCCCCACACTTCCTTGTACTTAGGTTGGGAACCTTTCCCCTTGGGAATGGTTGGATGGTATAATGAAGGGGCACTCGCTCTCCCCGTCGGGCTCGAAGGTGCTGCTCTCTACTCAGACACTCTCCATCAGTTCTGAGGGTCCCTGGGGAGACCCTGGCCTCCCTTGAATGGAGCAGGGGACATACAGTGTTCAGGGGTGCAGGCTCCTGAGCAGGTCAGGTGACCCCAGAGACAAACTCCTGCCACCCCGAGATGCCAGGTGCTGGTACCCCAGCAATTTCATATCGAAAACACATCAGTGCTGGGTGATCAATGGAATGACCCCATATTATGTTCTATTGGGAAAGGGGTTTATTGAATCAATCAAGTGTCCAGGATCACAGAGACTTTTTAAAATGTAGAAGAGATGTTCTCTGCCTAAAATAACTTTTTGGTGAGCGCTTGTTTCCATGAGAATATCCAGAAGAGACTGTGCTATACCTCTTGTGAACACCAAGCATTACCAGACTGTTGAACCCGACAGCAGCATGCCTGTCGCAGGGCACTGCCCCGGGGCAGCTCTTCGTTGGTGGAATGAATGAGGACCCAGGTTTGAAATGGTGCTTGGAGTCTGGGACACTGATGTTAGAGCATCATTACAGCCTCAAAAGTGGAACCTTGTCACCACGGTTCCCAGGAGGCTGTGAGATCTTTTAGAGCCGGTGAATGCCTGGCACCGGAATGGGCACAGTCAGGATTTGCTGCCTGAAGGGTGAGCAGAAACTTCACAGTGTTTTCATTCAAATAAGCGTGTGCCTACTATGTGCAGGACACTGTGCCAACCCTGCCTTATCCAAGGGAGTCAGCCCCTGACGGACAGGTGAGCATACTGGAAGCACAAGGCTCTACTGTGGGGTGAGGGTGGCTTGCTTACTTAGCAGCCTTCTGATTCCTGGTTGGATCCCAGTACCTTGATATCAGGAAGGCAGACAGGAGATTCCCACCTTTGGAAATTCATGAGTTCTATTGGAAATCTAAAAGCCATCTGCTGCATCGGGGTCTTGTGAGTTTGGAAAACGATATGCACTTCCCAACAGTGAACCCTGATAAAATTTGGTGTCTTGTCCTGTGGACACCCTAGGATTCCTGCCTGGTTGGCCCGGGTGACTCCTGTCTTGCCCCAGTATCTCCCTGTAAATGAACCACTGTTCTCCAGATCCAATTGGAGGGCCGGTGACTTCTCTGGCCATCAAAGCCTGCTGATCTGGTGGTGGTGTGGGCTGCCCTGACAGAGAACAGAGATGCCCTTGCTCTGCTCATTCAGGGCAAGCAAGGAGGAAGAGGGCCAGTGACAGGAAGGCAGGCCTGTAAGGTGCCCGAACATCTGCTCTGAGTTGGTCCCTTCCTCCTGGGGCCTGGGGTGCCGGTTGGAAAGCTTCAGCTCCTTATGCTTCCACCACCTTCTATTGCAACATTCCAGAAGCTCCGACCCTGCCGGCTGGAAGGAGCCTTAATGGCTGTCCAGTGGGATCTGGGGGCAGTGTGGGGGTCAGATTGCTATCTGAGCATGGGCAGCAGGTGCAGAAACCAAGGCCAAGAGCTGTGAAGTGATTTGTCCAACGTCACAATGAGGTTAAAGCTGTGCCTGATTCTTTCTGCTCCAGGGAAATTTTGGAGCCCTGGGGTAACATCCTTTGATGTCACCGTCTCCATGGTTCTGCCACGTCTCATCCTGGCCCTGTGGTCGGGACCCCAAACCTTCTCCTTCCATGCCCATCTCAGGAAGTGAAATCTCTTGCCATGTCATGTAGGCCGCTTGCACAACCCTGTATCAAAGCTCGTCTCTCCAAGGAGGCAGCTCAGGTCACACTTCCTTCCGGTCCCCAGTGAGTACAGAACATCTCACTATAGAACAGGAGGGGAAGTGGAGAGTCCCACGGATGTCGGTGACAACGCGAACCCCAGGACGTGGAACGAGCAGAAGTGGGAGCTGGCAAAGCCAGTCATGGGGGGACATTCCAGTTTTGGGGGAAATTTTCAGCCCTTGAGTCACTCAACCGCTTCTCAGCTCAAGTCCCCCTCTCCCTGGGCAGGCTGGTCCTCCAAGACAGGAGGTGTGGCGCTGCCTCATGCCATCTTAGGTCTGAGCCTGGGCTTCCCAGCCTGTCATGGAGGTCGGTCACCCCAATGGTTTGCTACCATTTTAAAGAAGAAGACAAGCAAAACAGTCATGGCTTAGTTCTTATGTTGTCCCTGTGCCTGGAGGGACGTCAGCTTCTCTGTCCCCTTGCTCAGAACGGAGCTGAGTGATGGCTGCTGCACCGTTTCTCTGCCCATCTCATTCTTTTTGTTTTTTTTCGGTACCAGGGATTGAACCCAGGGGTGCTTAACCCCTGAGCCACATCCCCAGCCCTTTAATGTTTTATTTTGAGGCAGGGTCTCACTAAGTTGCCTAGGGTGTCACTAAGTTGATGAGGCTGGCTTTGAACTTGCAACCCTCCTACCTCGGCCTCCATTGCTGCTGAGATGACAGGCGAGCACCGCAGCACCTGGCCACCCATCTCTTTCTTGAGGATGACTTCCTGACGCTGTTCTCAGGAGCCTGCCGTTTCCTTGCACCGTTCCCGAGGGCTTCCTCTGGCACCGAGGGTTTGGACGAGGCCCTGTGTACCCACACCTATTTCTCTCTGGACACTTCTGTTTCTTTCAGTTTATGGAATTATTCGGGATGGGTTTATATTGTGAGACCATCACCTCCAGAGGGCCTGTCCCCCTCTGGGACCCAAGAACTCAGAAAGGGACAGGTGAAGTCCAAGTGCTCCACCCTCCTCCCTGGCCTAGAACAGGCCTTGGCCCTGCTTAGGTGTGAGGTCTCAGTGGCTCTTCTCATCTGGTGGGAGGGGGGTTGTCCCTCCTCTGAGAGGCCATTTGGATCTAGCAGAAAAGTCCCCAGGGCTTTCCTACAGGACATCTTCTCTAACATAGGACGGGTGTGAAGAACTGATGAAGAACAGGAGGCTCTGGTACCACATTTCCCAGGGGTCTGGAAACATGTCCTGCGAAGGGCCAGACTGTCTGTGTTGTAGCTGCCACTGATTGGAAAAGCTGTCACAGGACTCTCTTTGTCTTGCTGGTCACAGACGCAGGCCCCTGCCTGACACTATGGTATTCTGCCACTTTCCTTGGACTCATGTTTAGAAACAAAACTTTTTAAGAAGTTTCCCTCTATCAAGTACTTTTTTTTCCCTCTTATCATCCTAATTGGTCTTCACAGCAACCTGAAGATAGGTAGGACGGGCCCATTTTACCTCCCAGGACACTGAGGCTGAGGGCAGTAATCCTCTACAACCACACAGATGCTAAATGCCAGGACCAGGACGCAAACATGGGCGCGTTAAACCCAGACCAGGGCCTTCTCTCTCCCTTTCCGTTGTTCTGAACACCTGCTGCCCACAGTCTCCTGCCCACACAGAGCCACCCCTGGACTTTCCTCAGTGGCTCACGTAGGTCTAAACAGTCCTGGCTGGGCATGTGCCCAGGGCCCAGCGACTGCCCTTCACCTCGATCTCCCCTCCGCTCTGCCTGGGACAGGTGCGCTGTGTGAATTCACCTCTTTCTCCTTCTCCCAGGCACTGACCACCAGTGCGTGGACATTTCCAAATCAGAGTTCCGAGTTGTCTTTCTTCCCGTTTTTGACTTGCTTCCTCATTCCGCGCTACTCTCTTGCCTGGAACTGGCGGCCTGTTGTTAGGTTTTCTCTGTTATTTTGTTTTTCCTCCAAAACTTGTTAGAGTACGGCCCAAAACAGAACCAACCAACCCAAAACCCCAAACCAACAACAAAACGACTTTTAGGGTTTCTATCCTTGGAGTCATGTGCTTTCTTTTTTTCTTTCTTTACTGACACTTAATAGACTTCTCTCTTCCAATCCGTGGTGAAGTACTTCTCTCCTGGAAGGTGTGTTGTGTCTGGATGTGACTCCCTGATGGTGACAGCACTGAGGGCTGTCTGGCCCCTTTCTTCCCACGACCTCATGGATTCCCTTCTCAGCCTTTCCTCCTTGCTGGCTAGAACTGAGCTTTCTCTCTTCTGGGAGAGGAGGTTCTCTGAAAAACCTCTTAGGGTTTGTGGCATGCGCTGGTCAAGTCTAGGACACAGACTCTCCGTAGCTAAGCTCCCCTAATCGCTGGGCAAAGTGGAATGGGGGGGGGATCCTACTGGGACAGGTGTCCAGGCTTCGGGGAAAAACAAGCCTCAGTCTGCAGATAGCTATTCCAGAAAAAGCACCAGCCTCCGACTTTGGCTCTGATCTTTTGTTAGGGGTTTAGGAAATCTGCCAACACGTCATAGAAATCTGTGAGACGGTCACACAGGGAATAGCTTTCAAAATAAGGTTTCACCTGGACACCTGGGCAGCGTGATAGTTCCCAAGAGAACTGCCAAAGTCAGTGGTGATTAGAAAACAGCCTTCTTCGCTTTCTGCTAATCCATACGTTCACCTTCAAAGGTTCCAATGATATGGAAGTGTGTAAGGTAAAAAGTGGAAGTCCTCTGTACCCGACCTGGCTTCCCCTTTCACTGGATGAGAACTTGACCAGTCACTGTCGTCCTGGACACAGCCCCCTGAGGCTCACGAATGGTCTCTTTCTAGTGCTTCCTGGATGCCTGGGTCTTGTGTATTTCTTTCTATCCCTGCTGCTAGGGATGGTGTGGTTCAAGTCCTCCTGCCGCTCAGGCCATTGGAATCATACCCTAACAAGGTCC